CGAGACCGGCAGCAGCGCTCACGTGAGGTTGAACTTGAAGTTGAACTGCCAGGTGTTGACCCCGGAGGGGTACTCGCCCTTCTCGTTCGTGAAGGTCAGGCCCAGCTGGATGATCTTCAGCAGGTCCACGTTGCACCGCAGCAGCTGGTACTGGTAGTCCACGGAGCTGCGGAACTCTCCGATCGGCCGCACCACCACGCCCGGGAACTCCGTGTCCTGGGGGGGGGAGCCGCTCTGAAAGCCGCCTCGGCCTCCGGCACCAGGGGCCGACCGCGGGGGCCGGGCCGGGCGCCAGACCAAGAGTTGTAGAACGCCTCCCCGAACGCCCCAAACCAGGCCCGCCTGGCGGCACAGCGGGTCACGGCCAGCGCTGCACAGCCCTCAGCAGCCGCTTCTGCACAGGCTGGGTCCCCGGCCAGGGGCGGCCCACACCCGGTCTCCCCACGGCCCCCTCAGCAGTGGGTTTCATGGTCTCTTCTGCCCCCCACTCTGTCTCTGGTGAATCCTCCCAGCCCTTGCACCTCTGGCCTGTACCTCAGTTCTGTGTGCATAAATACATCTTTACCTAAAAAAAAAACCCACAAAACCGATTCCTAGGCACACATAGCCTGAGACCGGACCTGCTCACAGGAGGCCCCACGGGGCAGGGCCTGGCCCGCGCGACCCGGCCCGCAGGCGCCACCAGCTCCGGGCAGCGGCCAGAGGACACCGAGGCGACAGGGCGGGCCCTGGGCGCCCCCAGCCACCCGGCAGGCGCGTGCCTGTCCCAAACGTGAGCTTGCTGGTCCTTCCCACTTTCCCAGACGCCAGAGACCTGGAGCTAATGCTTGCGGGCAGCCTCGCCCGTGGGCAATGAGGCCGCTGCCCTCACCATGGCGATGTAGCTGTAGCTGAGCACCACCTCGCGGATCCTGCGCATCTCCTCCTCCAGGTTGCTGGCCCAGACCTCACAGATGACCTGGCTGTTCTCCACCAGCGCCGCCGGCATCCTGAAGGCGCCAGACAGGCCGCGCTCCGCCCGGCCTGTGAACGCGCGGGCCGAAGGGCCGGCTGACCTGGAACCGAAGGTCGCGAGGTCACGTCAGCGCACGCACCCCCCCCACGCCACGAGGCGCCCGCCACCCGCCTTGGCTTCGGCCAGACGTCAAGACCGGGGCGGGGTTTCCCGTGCCAGCCGGGGCACCTGCCCTCGGACACATCCCGAAGAAACGGGGCAACCTTGGAAATCTGGGGTGGCCGCTGGCAACCTGGCCCGGGCCCTGGGGCCGGGGTGCTGGGGGCCAGAGCCCCAAGCCCACTCCACCTGGAGCTGTCCCGCCGAGAGGGTGTTGTGGGGACAGGCCGCAGTCGAAGGCCCAGGGAGACCCGGTCTCGGCCGCCACAACCCCAGGCACCAGTGCGGGACACGGCCCGGCCCCGGGCGGCCCTGTGCCCACGTGGCCCCTTGGCGGGGGCAGGGCCTTCCCTGCTGCCGCGGGAGGGCGCCACTCCAGCACCCTTTCCTCACCACCAGGCCAGCGCCTGCACCAGACACCCACAGGTGGGGCTCAGGTCTCCCCAAATTATAAAAGCAGGAAAAGCCAAAGAAACCCAGAAAGGTGAGTGGTTTCGGGACGTGGTGACTCCCCTGGGGTGACCAGGTACCGGGTGAGTCAGAGGAAACCACTTCCCGCTAGGCGCCGGCCCGGGCCGGGCGTCACCACACGACCGCGGGCGCCCAGCGCCACAAGACGGGAACTGAGCTGCCTGAGACGGACATCAGCGCCACCCGGCCAGGCTCCTGTCCTCCGGAGGCCCGGACGCCACCACCACGCGACCAGAGACCCGCGGGTCTCCAGCCACCAGGGTGAGAGCGACACCCACACGCTCAGGCTCTACCCACACGAGGGATGGGGTGCAGACCCGCTCCCACCCCAGCAAAGGAAATTCTTTCCCCACAACCCAGAAGTGCAGAGCTAACTTACTACAGGCGCGCAGGTGCATGCAACAGCCGCGAGTGGGCGGGGCGAGCGGGGGCGGGGCGAGCGGGGGCGGGGCGTGAGTGGGAGAGACGCCCCCTTGCTAACGGAAGGAGTTACTGTTACCTGTTCTTAACCACCCTGCACTGCACTGCAACAAAATAAGCGGTGATTCAACGGCATGATCAGAGGCAAGGCAGGCAGTCATTCGTCCAGAAACAAGGGTCCCCTGTATTCCGGGAGGGCCCGCACCCCCAGCACAGGACGCAACATGTTTGCTCCCAAACAAGTTGTTAAAGCAACTCCGCTATGCACTTGTTTCAGGAGGACTGGGGCTGCCATGTCAAGAGCAGCCTGGGGCAGGGGCCAGAGGAGGCTAACAATAAAGGCCGGAGCAGGGAAGGCTCTGCTTCCAGCTTTCAAGAGCTGCCACAGCAGAATCTGGAATGCAATAAAACTGGCATTCCCGGGCCCTCCCTCGTGGTGCAGGGGGTTAAAGCACCACCCTAGGAAGCTGGCTGCAGCCGCTACAGCGGGAGTTAACCCCCGCCAGGGAGTGGCCCACAGGGCGTGGCAGTCCTCTCCTGTCTCCCCGTGCTCCCCTCAGCAGTGTATCCCCTCGATCTGTCCATTCTGCTCCCCACTCTGTCTCTGGTGAATCCTTTTTCACTGCCTGTACCCCAGCTCTGTTAGCATAAACAAATAAATCTTAAAAACAAAAAAAAAAACGGGCATTCTCGTGTCCGTGTGCCTGAGAACCCAACCTGTCGCACCCCGCTGTCCAGGGTACCCTACTCTTGCAGATGTTTCTCAGAAACTGTACTTACTGACCCCGCGCAGACTGGCACCTCCCCAACAAGTACAGGTGGGTACTTGTCACGGGCAGGGTCAGTGAGGCAGGAACATGCAGGAGGGGCGGCCCGAGCTGAAGCTGGACGCCCGCAGGGGAAGGGGCTTCCCTGGCCAGTCACTGTCCTAACCACAACGTAAGCACTACAAGGCAGCCCTAAATCGCAAGGGACACTGTTTATGCTTGTGCATAAAAGCAGAAGCCACGCAGGGGAGGGGCGAGCGGAAACACCCCCTTGGTCTCCGCAGCGAGGAGCAGGCTGCAAGGGCAGGTGCCGGTGGCTGCGCCGAGCCCTCCCCGCGCTTCCCAGCAAAACTACGTGGTGTCCAAAGACCTGAGGGGGAAGCCGGAGGAGGACCCTCTGCTCGAGTGCGACGGGGGCGCTGTGCCTGAGCCCCCAGAGTTCAGGCCGCTGTGCCTCACGCTGCAGACAGACTGAACTGCCACCTGGCTGCTGCCGCGCCGCTGCCTCGCTGTGACGAGGCCCCGCGTCTTCCTCACGCAAGCCCGACCGAGCGCGGAACAGCTGCCCGTCCAGCCGCAGTGGGCGCGGCTCCTCGGGGCTCCCAGCCGACGGAGGGGCCTCAGAAGCCGTCGCCTCCGATCAGGCCGGGCCCTGCGTCTCCGGCGGTGACGGCATTCTCCCCGATGGGTGCCAGGCCGACTGCAGGTGCAGTCACAATGCCAAGAGCCACGAGACTTACATGCGAACATGCTGCGTTACAGCAGGCGGACGACGCCTCGGCGTAGCCGGTCACCACATGGCAGTGGCCACAAAAGGCGCCTCCTGGCCGAACACGCCGGAGCCATGAAACAGCCCTGGCCCCTAAGTTACACTGCCATCTGTCCAAGCCGCTGCACGAACTCCCAGGAGCCCAGGGGGACAGAGGAGCCCGTCAGATGACGCCAGACATGCACCAGCAGAACCCAGAGGCCACAGTGAGAAGACACCCGGGAGAGGGCTCACCACGGCGCGCAACCCCAGCAGGACCCTGCTCCACGCCGGGGAGACCAGCAGTTTGCCGTGATCAGAGGTGTGAATAGCTGGCAGGTTCGGGCAGGAGCTTTTCTTTCTTGTGAACAACAGCCAAACACAGCGACACGCTCACGGTGGCCGCGGGTTCTAAGGCTCTAAGGCCCGCCGCACTGGGAGGTGGCTGCGGGCTCCGTCTCCCGAGCAGGCACCGAGGAAGGGCTAACTGCTGTGATGAACATGGCAACTGCACCGGCCCCCGGCAAGAGATATTTCTGCACCAGACCTTCGCTAGCAGCGTGGGCACTGAAGGCGGTGCTGCCCGACGGCTGCAGCGGAAGCCCGCGCGTTGGCGTGGGCGTGAGCTACCGGCCACCCGCCAGAGCCAGGAGCAGAGCCACAGCAAGGAGGCAGGTGGCGCGCCTCCCGTCAGTGGGCAAAGTGGGTGAGCTCAACCCAACAGCAACAGTTGCAAACTTCAAGGGAACCGACTGCGGGTGCCTGGCTGCTGTGTCCGCGAAGCAGCGGGCACCTTTCCGAGGGAGACAGCAGAGAGGGGCTGCCGGGAGCGAGGCTCAGGGGAGAGGAAAGGCGGAGGGGGCGCTGCAGGGGAGAGCCCGCGGGGAGGGGAGGCGGGCTGCAGGGGAGCACCCTGCCTTGCACCCTCAGCTCTGGTACCCAAAGAACTTCCGCGGCCAGATCTGATCACGTGCAATGCCCGCTTCTCGGGCAGAACCAGCCCCGCACCGCGCCAACCCAGCGGCGCCGGGAGGGAGCGTCAGCGCCCCCGACGCGCGAGGAAAGGGGTCCCCAGGCGGGCAGGTAGGCGGCGCCGCCACACCCCG